CATTATCCCTTTTATACTTCAAAAATTCACATTCCCTTCACCATCAGTTTAAGAATAGCCACACCCATGAAAACGTGTAAGCCAGCCACTTCATGCCTTTATCTTCTCCGAATTTAGATAGCCAATTTCTAATTTGCCCATCCCTATCAAACCAGTACAGTGAGGAGAAAAGCATGGTCCTTTCTCTCTGAAGAATTTTCTATTCGCTTGAAAACTCTGGGCATCTGCATCTATAAACAAGCAAAGTCGAGTCCAGTGCAAGCCATCAAATTGCAGCAACTTAACACTAGCTCAGTGTCAAACATCTTCCTCTTTGTTTGGTCATGTTCTGGTCAGCTCAGCCCTAGCCATCCCAGCTAGGTCACGGGTACCAGCTTCCAAGTTTGGGAGTCACACTCTTCCCTCCACTTCAGACCAGCCAGCACCTTCTCTCACATCCTCAGTCCTCAGGGACTATTTCAATGCCCATAGGCTCACAACTCCTTGCACTTCAGACCAGCCAGCCCTTCCTCTCATCCCCAGCCTCCATGGCCTAGGTCAAAGAGTACCAAACTCAGCCTGTTTCTTCTTTGCTGCACTTCCCCCATTTCCACTCAAGTGGACCCAGATAGTCACATGCGAGCAGCATACAAGCCTACTGCACACTGGCTTCCTTTAACTTTCAGTCCTGGAAGGGTTTTCTCTCATGGACCATGACCTTACTGCCTTGATGCACCCAAAACCTAAATGATTGCTCAAAATTCAAAAAGCCAAACAGTATTTTTTTTTTTTTTCCTTCTGTAGGTTCTGTCTCTAAACTCAGATCTTCTGTTCCCTCAGTAGTTCTGGGTGGGGTTTTCTGTCTAAGCCTCTTTATACTCTGCACACAGGGCTTGAAACAAAAGCCTGTATTTATTCTGGGCAAATTCTATTTCCCTTTTTAACATATCCAATCAAGTATTGGCTGAAAGCGGACTTACACACTCATAATCATTTCAAATGTACAAGCAGGTAAGAGAACATTCAATACCCATAGTACATTCAGATAAACACATAATCCAAAACACAGAATCCTTTTTAAGACATTCTACGTTCGTCTCTTCATTTTGATTACCTTCCCATTCTATGTATATGGCCTTGGGCCTTTGGCTGCGTGTAACCAAAACCCAGTTATCTCCTTTAAGTGGTAACAGCAACCAAAGTAACCATGTAATAATCCAAAAGTTCACTTCCCAGGCCCCTTCCTTCTTTCTTTTACAAAGACCCATGCTTCTATGAGTCTGGAGCCACTGCAACGAATCCCACTGCTTCTGACACCAACTGCCAAAGGGGCAAGGAGGCTGCATCTTCCGACCTCCTCTATACACACAAGAGGAAGACAGAATCACCATCAGTAGCCCAAGGCCTATTCCTGCAAGGCCAGACATGCTGCCTCCATCCAGACCTTTCATCAACCCTGACACCAACCATTCCTCCCACAGCACCCACCACCTTTCTGCTGGGTTTGATAATTCGTTGCAGTAGCCACACAGAACTCACAGATTATGGGGTTTATTAGGGAAGCACCAGGCTACAATTCAAGTTCAGGAAGAACACTCAGTCTTTCTCAACAAACAGTCTCTCTCAGTCACTCTCCCAGTAATGCGTATCTCTCAGTGTCTCTCTCAGCAATGCATGTCTCTTTCTCAGCAGCATGTGTCTCTCAGGAGTGCATTCCTCTCAGCAGTATGTCTTTCTCAACCAGCAGTCAGAGAGACTTCTGTCTCTAGGAGGCCTCCTGTTGAGCCCAGCAGAGTAGCCAAACAAACCAATCATAACATCAGAATTCTAAGCACCTGAGAGCGAGCAAACTTCCCAGAACACTGCTTTTCGCCACTCACAACAGAAATACCACAGGTGGATAATTAACAATCAGGAGCTCCTTACTTGCTCATGGCAAATTCCACATCAGGGTTTACGAAGACTTATGGCTAGGAAACCCATACCAGGTAACTTACTACACTGCACAGGGTAAACTGGAAATAGATTAGCCCTCAAAGGACTGGAACTCAGGTTCAAATCATCTGAATTCCTAATCGGAAGGAGCTAATCCGAAAGAGCTAGTGTTTCTATCCTAGAAATTTCCAGAATTAAAGGTAAACCCTTCCTAGAGAGAGTAAATATTATCAAGACCTCAAATAATCTCTAGTTTTTCATATATAATGTCCAGTACTCAATCAAAAATAATCAGGCATATGACAAAACAAGAAGTGACTAAAAACCAAGAGTGACAGATAACAGAAGCAGATCCACAAGGCAGCCAGTTATTAGTTACAAGATGTAGATTTTCAAAAACGATGGCTAAGAAACCACCATGAGTTATCACTTCAACCTGACCTAAATGGCTCAAGTTTTAAAATGTTCACAATACCAAGTGTTGACAAGGAAAACTGTTTTTGTTCTTTTTCTTTGTTTAAGAAAGAGCAAACATAAATACAACAAACTATTAACATCTGTTAAATCTGAGTAATAGTACATAACCAAAAAAACCAAACCCGTTGCCATCAACTAACTCATAGCATGCCATCAATTCTAACTCACAGCAACCCAAGATGTCAGAGAAGAATTGCCCCAGAGGGTTTCCAAGGCTGTAATCTTTACAGAAGCAAACTGCCACATCCTTTTCCCACACGGAATGGCTGATGAGTTCAAACCATCGACTTTCAGTTACCAGATGAGCACTTAACCTCTGTGCTTCTGGTCTGTACAAAGGTGTTTGTTATATACTATTTTTTGTACTTTCCTGCCTTTTTGTAATATTTCAGAATTTAATGATTAATAATAAGAAAAAAGTGTGACAAGAGGGATCAAAATCAAAAAACCAAACCCACTTCCATCGTGTCAATTCTATCTAACTCATAGCAATGCTATAAGACAGAGCAGAACTGCCCCATTGGGTTTCTAAAGCTGTAGATGTTTACAGAAGCAGACTGCCTCATCCTTCTCCCACAGAGCAGCTGGTGGGTTTGAACCACCAACCTGTGATTAGCAGCTGAACGCTTTAACCACTGTACCACCAGAGCTTCTACTACAGATATCAGGATGGGCTAAATTATTTTAGCCCTGAGAAGTGGTACCTGCTGTCTAGTAAACAGAGTGAAAGCAGGAGCCCAACTAGAAAGCTGATGCAGTAACCCAGATGATAGGTGATAGAGTGGATATGGAGATGGAGAATTGAAGAAATTATCATTCAATTGAATGATGAAATACTACTTTTCTAGAAACTTGACGTTTAGTTCTCAAAACTGTTGAATTTTATCCCAGTCAAATCAGGGAGCAAATGAGGTCACTATGTCAAAGAGAAACCTAAGATGACAACAATTTCATTAGAGCAAAGACAGCCTCTAGGATGGAGTCAGGAACCAGTGAAGACAAGAAAAATTTGAATTTTTCTATAAATCCTTAGAAGAAACAGAAGCAGTTATAAAACTGAAAGTTAATAAGCACTCAGTTCCACGCCAGATGGTCAAATAGATACATTCACAACTTGCCAGAATTGTGAAGCCTTGTGCATCTCCTTCCAAATATGCAGATGCCTATATCTGAGGGGGAAAAAATGTCTATTTCTGATTCTGACAGCAAGCGCAAAAGTCTGATCTTGCCAGTAGAGAATGTTATCTCCCAACCACAAATCCACAGAGATTTCACAACCTGACTCTCATTTTGGAGAGAAGAGTTGTCTTTGACCACTACTTCCACCATCCCTGCCAGAAAGCATAAGGAATATGAGAGTGAATGACAGCTTAAGAACTCAGCATTACATCTACACCCAAGAAAGTAGATCTATGCCTGTAGATTATTCATGAGCAGCCCACGTGTAATTCTGTAAAGAAAAATCAAGCATATCAAACAGAAATTTATCCCTACACTTTGAAAAATGGCCTGAGGCAAGAGTCTAAATTATGATAATTTCTTCAATTATACTGAGCTGTTTAACTCTCCACTGAGAAGAGATGGAAGAACTAATTTTCTTTAACATTACCTTTTGTGCTTTTCAAAAGGTTAAGACTTAAAATTAAGTATAACAGTTTCTTATCTATATAGTTTTCGTTAAATATGTATTCTTGGATCTGACTTATGAATGTCTAGTTTGCTGGCTATAGGATTTTTACATGATATTTTTCCCACAATCTGTTCACACAATGAAAAATATTCAGAGATGTTCTTTTTGAAGGAGGCACTTTACACACACATACACAGTCTCTTAATTTTTATATATTCTGCTGGGAGAGCTTGATTTTAGAGGCAGGTTGGTATACTAGTTGCAGTCAATATTCTTCCCATTACAGAAAGGTAAAACTTAGACTAACACATTTGTCTTAGATTCCCACAGTATAGGATGTGTGACATACTGGAGAGGTTCAAAAAATAATCACTAAATGACTCAGATTCCTGATGCAATATTCACCCAGAAAATATCTTTTCTCATTTTGTCCAGACTGATACTGAATGAAAATTTCAGTCAGTCCAAACTCTGGCAACTAGATACACAGAAAATACTATCTAAAAGATTTTAATAGCTATTAAGATATTAATGAATTTTACATAGTTATTTTATATCTTAGTCTCAAATTTTTGAGAATGAATATAATTTCTGAAGTTATAGTAGATTCCCTTAAATAGTTATCACTATCACAGACCAGCAGTAAAATACTTACAGGTACTTTTATACAAATGCTGTAAGTGTGAAATAAGAGACATGTGGGGACAATCCAACTTCAATTCACAAACACATAAAATTCTTTTAAATAGTTACCTGCTGCATCAATCATCATAAATTACCAAAGAAAATTTCCAACTGATACTTGCCTGTTGACCTGCCTGTTCACTCTAATGAATCTTAGGAACACATATCCAACTAAGCACACCATTTATAAAGTGGTTTTAGAACATACCAGAGATTAATCCCAGGAAAAAACCAAAGACTGCTCAGAGAATCAACATTACTTTTTGAAGACACGTCTTCAGAGAATGATACTCACAGGGTTAACCGTTTCTTCAGCAGAATGGTGAATGGTCCACCAGTCTGAGGTCCATTCCCATGCATTCCCCACTATGTTGTACAAGCCATAACCATTGGGAGGAAAGGCGTTAACCTAAAGATAAAAAAGGAAATATACTGTCAAAACATTCACGCTGTTCAGAAAATCTCTTTGGTGCAAAAATTCTCTATGAACTATAACTTCAAAGTACAAATATTAATTTTCACTCCAACAGTCAAAATATAATTTGGCCAATGTAAATGCAAAGAGATATTCTTTGGCTGTTGGCTCTCAAGAGGAATTTATGAATCCAAAGAGAATTTATATTACATGGTAGGAAAGCCAGCAAAATTATTCATAACAGAGTATTTATAATACTGATTATAAATTTATCTGGCAGTATGTGGCAAAGGGTAGGGTGAAGATTGATATTTACACCTTCAAAGTGGAAACAGGAACATATGAGTCTTGTCACTAGAGCTGAGCTTTGCTGGTCACACAATGTCTTTCAGCATTGAGAGACCCCCAAGTTGATTTCATGCTCTGCACCAGCCCCCTCCAACAAGATACCATCTTATCTTTAAGCTTCAGCCACTGTCACAAAACGTGAGAGGAGCTGTTGTGATAAAGAAAATGTGAATTCATTATCAAGTGTTCAGGAAGTCTGGGGCAAACTGTACACGTTCTTCAGCAAGTAATTATATCACATCTCAAAGACAGGTCAGACGGTCTGACACATAATACTGTCACAGACACAAAACCAAAGAGTGTAAGGCTTTTTTAAAAGGGTAGCGAGTGGGGAAGACAAGAAAGTAAACTTAAACAGTAAATGCAGAACAGCTTGGCTATTTGAGTAACTGATTTAAAATTTTTTCCCAACATTTTTTTTGTGGAAATTCTCAAACATAAAGCAAAAATTTTTATTTTTTAAAATGAAAAAGTCATCTTTGAAAATTTTTAAAAAATCTTTTTATAAATTCATGTTTTCCATATTAATGAGTAGGATTAAAGTAATGAGTAAACTACAAGTCATTTCTATTTGTCTTCTGAAAGTTTCAAGTCCACACATAAATGTGGAAGTATCTGATGCTTGGAGAATTCAGAGCACTTCAATTCAAGTTATGGAGCCACTCTTAAAAAATTTTAATCTGAAAGAATTGGAAAGCTGAAGAATTTCACAATTCTGCTTCCATAAGCAGCATTCATTATGGAAATACCAACACTTAATCAATGGTTTATTCATTAATTCCATACATAGTGACTGAAGGCAGGAAGGGATTCAACAACAAATAAGAACTCAAGGAGCTTAATGAGGGAGAAAAGAATACACACAAGCCAAAAAATCAAGAAAGACACAATGAGATGAGGATGAAAGAAAAGCCACAGGAATTGCCAAGACGGAATGATTTTTGGTTGAAGGTATCCTCCTAAGCGAAGAAGAAGTATTTGGACTGGCCTTGGAGGCAAGGTCAGTGGTAGAGGAGAGGTCGCAAGTATAAACTATTTTTTTTTGAAGAATCTGGAATGGATCAGAAACAGCCAGGTAGAGTAGATGCTGGACAGAGTAGAATGAAAAAGAAGAAGCTAATTTGTTTCAAGAAGAGCTAGAGAAGTAAGAGCAATTAAAAAATGAAACAAGCATTCTGGAGGAAGGAATCACTTCTCAGAGTTCTAGAAAGCACAAGGTGAGGGAGCCCTCAAGTCACAGGATCTGAAGTCATATCTATGTGTCAAGATATAGCAGCTTGAAGATACTCAGGTGGCCAAAAAACACATGAAGAAATGTACATGATCATTAGTCATCAAAAAAAAAAAAAAAAAAAACCAACCTATCCCACTGCTATTGAGTCAGATCTCACTCATAGCGACCCCTCCTTGGGTTTCTGAGGAAAATCTACAGAAGTAGATTGCTCAACCTTCCCTCTGAGGAGTGGCTAGTGGGTTTGAACTGCCAGCCTTCTGGTTAGCAGTCAAATGCCTTAGGCACTACACCACCAGAGAGAGTTGCAAATCAAAACAAGCATGAGATACCATCTTACCCCAGCACTAAGAGCAAAGTTCAACAAGACAAAACAAATGCTGGCCAGGATGTGGAGAGATCAGTACTCTCACCCATTGCTGGTAGGACTGTAAAATGATAAAAGCACTGTGGAAATTGGTATGGTAATTCCTTGAAAAGTTGGAATTAGAAATATCATTTAATCCAGCAATCCCATTACTAGGTATATCTTCTAAAGAAGTGAGAGCCAGGACACGAATAGATATGTGCACATCCATGTTCATCACAGCACTACTCACAACACCAAAGAGATGGAAACAACCAAAGTGCCCAACAGTAGAAGAATGGATAACCAAACTATGGTACATACACACAATGAATACTACGCAACACTAAAGAACAATGTAGAATCCACAAAACACCACATAACATGGATGAATTTGAAGGACATTATGATGAGTGAAATAAGTCAATCACAGAAGGACAAATATTTTATTAGTCTATTACTATAAAAAGTGAAGAAAAGGTTTATATATGGAAGGAAACTTTCTTTGCTGGTTACCAGAGATAGTAAGGAAGGGGAGGGAAAATTGCTGGATAGTTAAAAGACAAGCATTGATTTGGGTGAAGTGAAAGGCAATGTACTAAATCAAACGATCAACACACTAACACTAAGGAAAAGGAAGACACAGAGAGGTGCATAAGAGGTACAGACAACAAAGATAAACACTTTTACATATATTATACTGAGTTATCAGCAATAACAAACATTAATCTATGCGTCAGTAGAAGGGTAGACAGGATGAATGATCAGGTAGGTCTAGGCAAAAGGGAATATACTCATGACCATATATATTATAGTTGGTAGACAATATTTCTACATACATATTTGTATGTACTATAAGATTGCCAGTGTGAATAAACTAACAGGGAGCAAAGTTATGATAACTTCACTATAGACTATCCCATTATTAAACTCCTACTCTCAACTGACCACAAAGCATGGGGAACAGCTGCAGTGGACTTGATTTCCTTCCCTGTGCTCCAAATCAACCAGCCAGTGGCCTTCAAGTCCATTCTGGCTCATGGTGCCCACTGTGTCACAGTACAGCTGTGCTCCACAGGCTTTTCAAGGCTGGCTTTTTGGAGTAGATCACCAGACCTTTCTTTTGAGATGTGTCTGGTGGACTCGACCCTCCAACTTTTTGGTTAACAGCCATGTGTTAGCCGTCTGTGCCACCAGACAACTCCTACATGTAAACAGCTCCAATCTGAAGATGCTGGTCCCCAATGCTGCTGTTGAGTAGATTCTGACTCATAGTGACCTTATAGGACAGTGTAAAACTGCCCCATGGGGTTTCTGAGGCTGCAGTCTTTACAGAAACAGATTCCACATCTTTCTCCCACAGAGTGGATGGTGGGTTTGAACCACCAGCCTTTCAGTTTAGCAGCTGCAGTGAATTGCTTGATGTGGCCCTTCTAGCCATTGTCCTCCATTCTGTGATGTTTTGTAAATTCCATTATCCATGACTGTTTGGGGCGGTGTGGTAGTTAAGATCAGGTATCAACTTGGCTGGGCAGCTGGTAGTTGTTGTTGTTGTTATGTGCCGTTGAGTCGGCCCCGACTCATAGCGACCCCTCCTTGGGTTTCTGACTCATAGCGACCCCTCCTTGGGTTTCCGAGACAGTATCACTACGGAAGTAGGATTGCCCAACCTTCCTTCCGAGGAGTGG